ATCACTAGTCAAAACCATAATGAAAAATCGTTACACACTTGTTTAGAATGCCTAAAATATTTTTAAAACTCAAAATACCAAGCACTGGCAAGGATACAGAGCAATTAGAACACTCATACAAGGTTGGTGGGAATGCCAACGGGCACAGTCACTTTGAAAAACAGTTTGACAGTTTATTACAAAACTAAACATACCCATACCCCATACGTCACCAATTTCATTCTTAGTATTTACCCAATAGAAATGAAAACCTATGTACACACACAACTGTATGCACACAACTGTATGTTGTAGCATACAGTTTGTAGCAGCTTCATTTGTAATCATTAAAAAACAAAAACAAAACCCAAATGTCCTTCAACTGATGAATAAAGAAACTGGTATATCCATAAAATGATATATCACTCAACAAAAAGGAACAACAACAACATGCATGATCTCAAACACATGTTGCTAAGTTAACAAAACTTGACCTAAAGGCCTATATGTATGATTCCATTTATATGCCATTCTGGAAAATCCAAAACAACAGAGACAGAGATAGGGGGTTTAGGGGTACAGGGTTGACTATGAAATCGTAGCAGAAGGGAATTTTGAGGGGTGATGGAACTGCTCTATATTATGATTATAGAGGTAGATACACAGTGTGCATTTGTCAAGACCCTGTATACCACAAAGAATGACCTTTACTATACACAAATTAAAACATAAATTTTAGGGGCACCTAGGTGGCTCAGTCAGTTAAGCAGCCGACTTCAGCTCAGGTCATGATCTCACCGTTCATGAATTCAAGCCCTGAATCGGGTTCTGTGCTGACAGCTCAGAACCAGCAGCCTGCTTCAGATTCTGTGTCTCCCTCGCTCTCTGCCCCTCCCCTACTCGTGCTCTGTCTCTCTTTCTTTCAAAAATAAATAAACATTTAAAAAAATTTTTTTAATTGTTTAAAACAATAAGTTTTAGGTGCCTGGGCTGGCTCTGTCAGTTAAGCATCCCACCTCCTGATTTCGGCTCAGGTCATTATCTCACAGTTCATGAGTTCCAGCCCTGTATTAGGTTCTCTCTCTCCCACTCGCTCTCTCTCTTCTCTCTCTCAAAATAAATAAGTAAGCATTTTATAAATAAATAAGTAAACAAACAAACAAACAAATAAATTTTAAAGAGCTTTAAAACACTGTGATCATAGTAGGCACCTGGCTCAGTCATTTAAGTGTCCAACTTTGGCTCAGGTCATGATCTCGCAGTTCCTGAGTTGGAGACCCCCACATCACTCTGCTGACAGGTCAGAGCCTGGAGACTGCTTTGGATTTTGCGTCTCCCTCTCTCTCTGCCTCTCTCTCTCAAAAATAAACATTTATTTTTTTTGTTTATTTATTTGAGAGAGAGTGAAAGAGATAGCAAGCAGGGGAGGGGCAGAGAGAGGGAGAGAGAGAGAGAGAGAATCCCAGGCAGGTTGTGTGCTGTCAGTGTAGAGCCCAATGTGGGGCTCAAACTCACAAACTGTGAGATCATGACCTGAGGTGAAACCAAGAGTCAGATGCTTAAATGACTGAACCACCCAGGTGCCCCTCAAAAATAAACATGTAAAAAATTAAAAATAAAAAAAAAAAAACACTATGATCACAGCACCACCACAGATTTACGAAGCATAAAAATGCCAAAAATATCATAAAATTCCCTCAAATTCAAGAATCCTAAAATATGTACTACCTAATTACACAATGTAATAAAATTATAATGTAACTCACTTAGATATTTAACTATAATAAACAAACACTACTGATAACATTAAAGTTGCACTTAGTGAACACTTTATACATACGTTTTAATCTTCCAAACAATCATATAAAGTGAAATTTATCTCAGCTTTACCAATGAGGAAACAAACTCAGAAAGAGTAAAGAAATCTCTTACCCACGCACACACACCTAGTAACACATTATTTGAAAATGTGTTATTTCCTAAATTTATAAATTTAAAATGAATTATGAATATTTTATATTGTCCAAGTACCCACATACTCATGATCATATAAAATGAAAGTTAAAATATGCAGCCTCTGCCCTCAAGATGTTTATAATCTAATTGGTGGCACACATATGACAAACAAGATAGGCAATTTTAAAAATCAAAAATCAGCTGAATGGGCAGTTGGGGAGGGAAACATTGCTGTGAGTGCCTCATAATAATATAATAATAAAATAATTCTAATTGCTTCCTCCTGTCTCTTGCATTACCACTGTCATTCATTGCACTTATATATAAGCATGTGTGTATATACAGACACACATAAACAAACATACTCAAATATAATATTGCTATTAGACTTATCTGTTAGAATAAGAACAAAAATGTAAGTTTTTATTCTGCCTTATTTCTTCTCTTATGCTCTTCCTTTCCTTTTTTACATCTTAGCTTCTGACCTATTTCATTTTCCTTGGCTCTAAAAGAACTTCTTTTAACACTTCTTTCAAGGAAGGTCTACTGACAAACAATTCCTTTTTTTTTAGTTTGTCTGATAACCTTTATTTCTCCTTCACTTTTTTTTAAATGTCTATTTTGAAAGAGAGAGAGCGCACGCAAGCGCTAGCAGGGAAGGGGCTGATAGAGAATCCCAAGCAGGTTCCACGCTGTCAGTGCAGAGCCTAATACAGGGTTCGATCTCACAAACCACAAGATCAAACCACCTGAGCTGAAACCAGGAGTTGGACGCTCAACCGACTGAGCCACCTGGGCATCCTGACTCAGTTTTAAAAGATAATTTTGCAAGGTACATTATTCTAGGTCGGTGGTTTTTTTCACTCATCATCTTATATTACACACCATTCTCTTCTTGTTTGTGTGGTTTCTGAGGAGAAGCCAGATATAATACTTGTCTTTGCTCCTCTATAGGTAAGGTATTTTCCCCCCTCTGGCTGCTTCAGGATTTTTTATCTTCAATTTCCTGTAATTTGAAAATGATATGCCTGGGCATAGTTTTTTGAGCATTTATCCTACTTAGTGTTCTCTGAGCTTTCTGGATCTTAGGTTTTGTTTCTGGTGTTAATTTGGGGGAAATTCTCACTTGTTACCATTTCAAATATTTCTTCTGTGCCTTTTTCTCATTCTTCTCTTTCTGGTATTTTCATTATGCAAGCGATACAACTTTTTTCTTCTTTTTTCTTTTTTCTTTTGAGAGAGAGCCAGAGAGAGAGCACAAGCAGGGGATGGGCAGAGAGAGAGAGAGAGAGAGAGAGAGAGGGAGAGGGGGAGAGAGAGAGAGAGAGAGAGAGAGAGAGAGAGAGAGAGAGAGAGAGAGAGAGAGAGAGAGAGAAAGAGAATCACAAGCAAGCTCTGCACTGTCAGTGCAGATCCTGACATGGGGTTCAAACTCACAAACTGTGAGATCATGACCTGAGCAGAAATCAAGAGTTGGACGCTTAACCAACTGAGCCACCCAGGCGCCCTTGTGGTATACTTTTGTAGTCATCCCATAGTCCTTCGATATTGTTCTGCTTTTTTGTCTGTTTCAAGTCTTCTTCTCTTTGGTTTTCAGTTTTCAAGGAGTCTATTGGTGTATCTTCTTGCTCAAAGATTCTTTCATCAGGGGTATCTAATCTATTAATGAGCCCATCAAAGGTATGCCTCATTTCTGTTAGTGTTTTTTTCTCTAGCATTTCTTTTTGGTTCTTTCTCAGAATTTCCATCCCCCTCCTCACCACTGCCCATCTGATCTTGTATGTTGTCTACTTTATCCATTAGCATCCTTAGCATATTAATCACAATTGTTTTAAATTCCCAGTCTGATCATTCCAACATCCCTGCCATATCTAAGCCTGGTTCTGAGGTTGGCTCTGTCTCTTCCAACTCTGTTTTCTGCCTTTTAGTATGTTTTATCATTTTTTTTTCTTGATAGCTAAGGCATGATGGACTGGAAGAAAGGAACTACTACAAATAGGACTTAAGCAATGTGGTGGTGAGGTGTGGGGGTTGGTAGCACATTTTATAGTTCTATGATTAGGTCTCAGTCTTTTAAAGAGCCTGTGCCTCTAGACTATGAACTTCACATGTGCTTCTCAGTCCCTCCCTCCTCCTCTTAGGTGGGGCAAGATGGTTAGAGTGGGCTGAAGTTATGTTATTTCCCTTCTCCCACACAGAAGACCTGAGCAGCTGGAATTGAGTATTTCCCTTCCCCTGCATCAGGTAGGTTCTGATAAACTCCAGCAGTTTAGGCTCTGATGAAATAGTTTCTCCTGAGGGTAGGCCTTATTAAGAATAGAATGCACTGGTATATTTCAAAACTGTTCCATTTCCCTTTCCTCTGCCAGAAACAAGAGGGGATTTTTCTCTAATATTCACTAGAGAATCTCGTAGAGGTGCAAGAGGTAACACACAAAAAAGTGTGGGGGCCCTCAATGACTGGTTCCTCCATGGAGTTTTAAACTCTCAGAGTTGTCCACACTGAGCCTCCAACAATTTATCAATTATAATCAGATTTCCCTATAGGAGCACTGGTTCCTGGTGAGGTGACTGCCCTGATAAGTTGTGAAACACTGTATTCTCTGTTGATCTCTCTAATTTTGAGGGCAGCGGTTTGCCTTTTGATCTCTCTTCATTTATGGATCTAAGAAAAGTTGTTGATTTTTCACTATGCTCAGCTTTTGACTTGTTATTATGAGTTGGCAACATCCAAGCTTCTTACATGCCATATGAGAAACCAGAACGCTGTATTTTCTTTTAAGAATGTTTTCCTACACTACAAGCTTAAAATTTATGTAGAAAAAGAAAAAAATATACAAACCCAGTATCATGTACAACAAAACAGTGTCATGTACTTTGAGAATTATTTATTACTTTCCATTTTCCTTACACTACACATATTCATGTTTCTAGATGACTAGCCTAGATCAAATACTGTTCTTAAACATCTGAACCTTCCACTTTATCTGTAAAAATCAATATAAAATTATAAACTGCAATCCTTGAAATATATCTTTCAAACAAGCCATTAAAATACAGCTTACCATTTTGATGCCTGTGGAAAATGTCACTGGTTTTATAGGTTTAGGTTTCTCAAGTTGCATTTCCAACTGGGTAGATCTATCTTTATGCTGAGCCAAAAGTAGAGCAACAGGGAGATCTGAACTCTCCTGTAAGAAAAGTTAAAGTGCAACATGAAAGTTAAAAAGGAAAAACTAATGAGCAACAAGTCTTTCATTTTAAATTATGCCCTTTCATAGGCACTTGATGTCAACCTAAATATTCACTTTATGGAGAACACTTCACAAAAAATTTTAACATTCCATAATAAGAAAAGGCTGTTTGAGATTCATAAATCAAAATAACCTGCAAAAAAGTATTTTTATAAAATCCACATTAAAGACAATAGGGTCTTATTTCATCTAGCAAAGCCAACCATATTTATTAAAATAAAAAAAATTAAAAGCTAATCACAAAAAGAGTAATACAAAGTACTATAACGTAGATCAGATGTTTATCTAAGACACATTCTTCTACCAGTGAATTCAGACCAGTTTGAAATTGTTTCCCATTAGATTTCACCTGAGGCCGTTTGGAAATGATCCTTGTTCTGTTTTGCACAATAGAACGATTGTTAAGTACAACCAAAAATATATTCTCTCCTTTACTGAACTTATTTTTAGAAATTAAGTCTAAATTTTTTTAATTGACAAAATGATAGCAAATATTTATTTTAATACCTTATATTGACACTAAAAGAGGGCTACTATTTACATAAATCTGCATATATACATATGAATGACACAAGCAATGATAGTAATTCTTATATGCAGATGCATTTATCCTGTTTAACATGAAGTTCTCTTACATGTTCTTCCACATGCTGTGGAACTAAGGTCTAAACTAAACGTATCCAGACTTTTTCCTTCCCGAGTTTTCAGTTAAATAAGAACACAGAAACACATGCATAAGGAAGGAGATAATATACACACAGTACTTTATATCTGTAAACAAAAATGAAGATTACAAACACATTTCTATCTATACCTATAGATATTGAGCCTATACCAAGGCTATCTATGAAAACAGACATATTTTTCAAATGGCCTAGAGATTTTTAAAATAACAACCCAGAACTTAATCCTGAAAAGACTATATTGTTAAACATTCCCTCGCATGAAAGTAAACATATAGCAGAATCTAATTTTCTTTCCAAATCTAACAACTTTATACAATTTTTTAGGCACAAAGGTAGCTAATATATTTAAAGGAACTTTTTTAAGTCTATAGTACAGAAGTAATTCAAATAAAAAGCAAATTATTTCAGCAGAATTGTCCTAGAATAAATCTGTACCTCAAGACTTGGTAACAGAAGTGCTTTGCAAGAGCAATATTACAAAGATTAAAATTTTTTAAATGGAAGAACACAAATTTTATTTATAAAATATAGCCTTGGGGCCTTTAGCAATAATAAAGGAAAATAGGGGCACTTGGGTGGCTCACTCAGTTAAGTGTCCAACTTAGGCTCAGGTCATGATCTCCCGGTTTCTGAGTTTGAGCCCCACATCAGGCTCTGTGCTGACAGCTCAGAGCCTGGAGCCTGCTTCAGATTCTGTGTGTGTGTCTCTCTCTGCCCCTCCCCTGCTCATACTCTGTCTCTCTCAAAAATAAATAAATTAAAAAAAAAATTAAAGGGGCGCATGGGTGACTCAGTCAGTTAAGCATCTTACTTCGGCTCAGACAGACAGTTCATGGGTTCGAGTCCTGCATCAGACTCGGTGCTGTCAGCACAGAGCCCGCTTTGGATCCTCTGTCTACCTCTCTCTCTGCCCCTCCCCCACTTACTCTCTCTGTTAAAAATAAACATTTAAAAAATTGTTTTAATTTAAAAAATAATAAAGGAGAATGAATGAAACATATACTATTGAGAATATACTTGAACACCTTTCATACTCTGCAATAAAGCATTAGTTATGCATTAGCAACAGTATTGCTGTGAATTCCTGCAGCTATTCTAGATGTTCATTAAGAATTTTATAATTAAGGGGCGCCTGGGTGGCTCAGTCGGTTAAGTGTCCGACTTCGGCTCAGGTCATGATCTCACGGTTCGTGAGTTCAAGTCCCGCGTCGGGCTCTGTGCTGATGGCTCAGAGCCTGGAGCCTGTTTCTGATTCTGTGTCTCCCTCTCTCTCTGATCCTCCCCCGTTCATGCTCTGTCTCTCTCTGTCTCAAAAATAAATAAACGTTAAAAAAATTTAAAAAAAAAAAAAAAAGAATTTTATAGTTAAACGTAAAATTAAGAGAGAATTTAAATGGACTGTGGACCAAAACATCTTTTAAAACCCATTACTGCCTTTTCATATGTAAAAATTAACAGAAGAAAATTAAATTTCTTAGCATTTCTCCTCAATCTATACTCTAAGTGAATTCAAATACTCTTCCATACCTGGTATTTACTCTAAGTGAAAGTCCTTATGTAAACGCAAGACAGTGGGCTCACTTCAAAAAAGTTGCTAATCAATACTTGGGCCTGTTTTAATCCTGGTTTCACTTTCACATAAAAGGCCCTGAACATTAAATGCCTTGGTAAAACAGCTGAAATTCAATAAAAAATAAACATTCTAGGAATCTAAAACCAATTTTGACATTAAGGCATACAATTTACTTCAAATCTGCTTCATTCCATTTTAGCACTCAAAACTTTGAAGCCTGAAAATCTTTGTGAAAGTTAAGTTAGAATTAAACAGGAGCTCAGGCAGTTAATTGTCCAACTTTTGGTTTCAGCTCAGGTCATGATCTCAAGGTTCGTGAGTTTGAGCCCCACATCGGGCTCTGCACTGATGGTGCAGAGTCTGCTTGGGATTTCTCTCTCCCTCTCTCTCTGCCCCTCCCCTGCGTGCGCTCGCTCTCTCTCTCTCTCTCTCTCTCTCTCTCAAAAAGTAAATACACATTTAAAAAAAAAGAGAGAATTAAACAGGAGCTCTAACAACAACAAAATCAATCAATGGAGTAAAAAAAAAAAAAACTATGGGAATATACATGCTCTCAAGAATACATAAAATGCAGATTCAGCCTTAGCAAGTTATTTCATTTTTCTTAGCTTTCCAGGTTATCTTGAAAGGTTCTCTAAACCTCATTAATTGCCTGAAGGTATACTGTTTAATATTTAAAGAAATTTTAATAAGACTGCCTGTAATACTCATTAAAAGCTTTATAATGACCACTTTTTAAAGATTATTTTAACTGACTTTAAGCAAGCCATCTGGCAAACAATATTTCTAATAAAGATCAGCTACTGCATTTTGACAGTATTAGCCCTTAACAAAATTTAAGACATAAACTGAAAAAAATTTTCAAACAGGAATATAAAAAGATTTAATAAGTTAGGACCTGTTTAAAAATCTTTTTCCAAACTGTTAAAAAAAAACTGAATTTACAGTTAGGATTAAATAAATGGACTTTTTAGGCAACATTATGGTAAATGCTAAGTCATAAACATTAAGACCATAACATTAAAATCTGTCACATACAGTATAATGTAATGCTTTTTAAAGGTTAAAGAGTGACCATTAGCACAAGAATCAAACCCAAAAACAGGAGAAAAAAAATTCTTAATACGTAGTGCTTGTTGCCTAAATTAGATCCAGAGAACAATTCTAAGATTTAAGCTTCTAGACATATTTACAAATGCCAATATTATCTTTTTCATAGAATCTAACACACGAATATACATAGAAAAAGAAACAAAGTGTGTTTTTTACTTATTAAGGATTCAGGAAGATAAAAAGAAATTTAATAATTCTATTAGTCAATAAGAACTAAACATACATTAACATTTTAACAGAAACAATGAATGATCATTTAAAAATTAAAGTAACAGAGAATTTTTAAAAATAAAATTAGGAAACCGAAAATTCACAAAATGTACTGATATTTAAAAACAATCTGTTGTAATTAATTGGTCTAATGAATACAGTAAATTTCTAACTTTTATTTAACCACCATGTTACATGCTCTAAACAGTGAAGAAAGTATGTGCAATAATGACTTGCAGGTGAAGAAAACAGGAAGTTGCAGGGAGTTTGGGGGGAGGTCTCACAAAAACCAATATTAACTCCAGGTTATACACAATGTACAACATTGGCAGTTTTACATCTTGCTTCATGCCCCACTGAATTAAAGGGGAGCGTCATGCCAATAGCACTCAATGAGGCAGCAAAACATTACTTTGAGGACTAAAAATATAGGCAAAGAATAATTGCTATGCAGAGCCAGCTAACCTCAAAATTATATCTAAAATCTCTTTATACTAGATGCAATATTTTTTAAATATTAAAGTATATTTTCATTTCATGTCTAAGTTCTATTTTGAATTCATTCAATCAATTGTATAAAGGAGAAGCATTACCAAGGAAAAGTATGTCCCTCTTTGTATAAAATGATGGGGGAAAGAACCTTTCAATAAAATAATTAGAACATCAGTATTTACTAATTCATTCTTTAAAGTTTTCAATTTTCACAAAATTCATGTCAACAAAAAAAGGTAAAACACATGTGTCATTTCAACTGTTAAAGGCACAACTGACAATGATTTCAAGAAAAATTAGTGGAAATCACTAAGAAAAATATATTCTATTTTATATGCTGTCTTTATTTTTAGAACCAAATTTACATTCCACTTACACAAAGTAGATAGGGTTTATGAAACACATTTTCTATCTAAGCCTCATTAATGCCCTTACTCTTACTTTTCCTTACTTTCTCACCTACTTCTATTTAATTATCTTGTTTTCTCTTTTTATTCCTGGTCAGCTCACATTTGGCCAAAAGAATGGTATAAAAATATACACATACACATTTACCTAATCATAGAGTTACAAATACCACATCAACTAGACTGACGAATTAAAGTATGTTACCACTACATAGAAATTAATTATGTGGACAGAAAAGGAAAGGGAAGAATGCAAAAGACTTTCCTGGAAAGGACGATTTCTACTGTGATTTTATGTTATCACCCTAGGTTATAAGCATCAAATAATATACCGTCAAATCTGTGAAACATTTCCGAAGCCTTAGTTATTATTACTGCTATTATCTAACAATGATGACTACTTGAGGAGCTAATTATTGGAAAACACAATTTGCAAAACACTGCCATTTCTTTCAAATACATTCTTTCTCATGCAAAAATATGAAACATAGTTCTCACAGAGTAAATAGAATCACTATAAATTTCACATGAAGCTAAAACACTTGAAAATGGGCTAGTTATAAGAAAGCCAGTGTTAATCAGGAGAAAACTGCCTTAAAAACAAAGCATTTTCATCAGTAAGCTTAAAAACATAAATAACCTATTAATAGTACACTGCCTTACATCAGTTACATTGCTCTTTCATCTAAAAATAAAACGGATATTGACAAAATGGGTTTTTTTTAATAAAGGAATAGAAGTTGAATACACCAGCACTGAATATGCCAATAAAAATGCCATTTAAATGCCATTATCCAGCATAATAAAAAGGAAAAATAAACTCTGAATACTAATGATTTGTTCAAGACATTTAGCATTATTACATACCAGTTCATCTAAAAAAGCTTGCTTGTTCTTCCTTTTTAGAATCTGCTGCAGTTGTTCTTCTTTTTGAATAAACAGTCTTCTTTGTTCATTTTCCTGTCTTTCTACCTCTAAAGCTTCTTCCAATTCCTCCTGTTCCCGAGTCTAAAACAGAAATATTTATATATAGCATGGAATAAATTTAGTAACCAAAATCAATCCTTTACTGCACTCCGACACTTTCTGGATACATAAAACATACTAGTCACTTAAGAGTTTAATAGAGCAGCAATTCTACTCTGCAGGAACTAGAGTTCATTTTATTATTTCACATGGACATGTCACTATGAAAGAGAATGACACCTATCATTTAACTAACACCTAAACAAGTACACTTCACTCAGTTGCAGAGCTGTAGGAAATGTGTTTAATAAAGAATTTATTTATTGATCATTATTACAGATAGTTTTGAGTAATTCATTTTAGAGGATTTAACAAGAAAAACAAAAACAAAACCCAATAAAAACAACAGAGACAATCTACATACAGAACTACCAATTGAAACACTCCATTGAAAGGACTGACTTATTTAATAGAAACAATTTCCAGAACATTCTAGGTAATGAAAAGTTATCAATGTCCTAAGCTTCTTTTCCCTAAGCTGAAATAAGTCTTTATGATGCTAGAATTCCAAACATCATCATGTTGCAAAAAACTGAAATTATTTTCTAACATAAGCATATAAATTTCAAGTCTTCTTTGTGCACTGAAAAATTCAAAATTCAAAGCTAATATGTAAACAGAATGAACTATAGTTCTACTCATTCTCCTTTTATGGAGTGCCTCGGAAATATTAAATAATTCCAGGTTCTGAAATTTATTCCAACTTAAAGTCATGCTTAAAAGCAATACTATACATAGTCTTTGTTCTTTCATTCTTATGAATGAAAAATACAGTAAAATCTAAATGGCTTTATTTTAAAGCTCTTTTTTTTTTTTTACTTTGACAGAACATTGAGAATTTATGGCACCTTGAGGTAAATGCAGAACGGAGGAAGAGAGCATAATAGGTTTGAGCATCACAAATATATGAATAGCAGACACCTCAGAGAAAAATATATTTATATTTAAAATAATATTTAAAACCCTTCGGACTTCAAGCTGTATTACAAAGCTGAAATCATCAAGAGAGTATGGTACAGGCACAAAAGCAGACACTCAGATCAATGGAATAGAATAGAGAACCCAGAAATGGACCAACAAATGTATGGCCAACTAATCTTTGACAAAGCAGGAAAGAATATCCAATGGAATAAAGACGGTCTCTTCAGCAAGTGGTGCTGGGAAAACTGGACAGAGAGATGCAGAAAAATCAACCTGGAAAACTTTCTTACACCATACACAAAAGTAAACTCAAAATGGATGAAAGACCTAAATATAAGACAGGAAGCCATCAAAATCCTTGAGGAGAAAGCAGGCAAGAACCTCTTTAACCTTGGCCTCAGCAACTTCTTACTTAACACGTCTCCAGAGGCAAGGGAAACAAAAGGAAAAATGAGCTATTGGGACCTCATCAAAATAAAAAGCTTCTGCAAAGCGAAGGCAACAATCAGCAAAACCAAAAGGCAACTAACGGAATGGGAGAAAACCTTTGCAAATGACATATCAGATAAAGCATTAGGATCCCAAATCTATAAAGAACTTATCAAACTCAACACCCAAAAAACAAATAATCCAGTGAAGAAATGGGCAAAAGACATGAATAGACACTTCTCCAAAGAACACATCCAGATGGCCAACCGACACATGAAAAAATGCTCAACGTCACTCATCATCAGGGAAATACAAATCAAAACCACAATGAGATACCCCCTCACACCTGTCAGAATGGCTA